GGCCGCAGGCAGAGGCAGGGGGGGCGGCCGGCGCCATTCCGTGCCGACGCGGAGGATGGTGGCTCTGTACGACTACGACCCGAGGGAGAGCTCGCCCAACGTCGATGTCGAGGTACTGGCCGGCACCTCCCTGCCCAGACCCGCCGCGGCTCAGCCCAGCTCACGCCCGTGGCGCCAGCTACCCAGCCCTTCTCAGGAGCATTTTTAGGAAGGTTTCACAGCCATCCAGTGTCCCAAGGGCTTTCAGAAGTTTCCTGGAAAATGCGCGTTATGATTATGCATGGATTCTCACATCCGCACCACTAAAACTCGTACTGTAATTCCATTTTCCACAAGCCTTTCGAAGGCCCCTTGGGTGGGAAGTGTGCAAACATGCCAGTGACAGTGTTCTCGGGCCATCACTGACTGGCCCTCGTCCCCGTGCCCGGACCAGCCCGCCGTGGAGGGCAGCGTGTGATCCGCGGTGCTGGTGACAGTGACCAGATCACCTTGAGGGGAGAGGGAAGCCCATTGTATGCGGCCAGTGGACAAGAGCAGGCGGCCCCCGCACCACTGAGGAACAGCGGGGTGCAGGGAAGTGTGCTCTGAGCACTGGCCCGGCACAGCGGGTACCCTGGCGCCTGGCCTTCAGACTACGAGGCCTCTGCTCTGTGGAGTGATTTGCCCAGACGCCGCACACGGTGGCTGTCCACGGCGTGCCTGCTCGGTGCCGCCGGGTTCCGCACTCAGGCTCAGGAGCTAGACAGGCCTCCCTTCCACCTGCCTTCTGTTGAGCCTGGCTCTGCTGGACCCGTTTCTGCGTCCTGCAGCACGACTGTGGACGGAAATGCCGACAGGTCTGGGGTGCTCGAGCTGGGCGCGTCGTGGACACTTGACGACAGACACCTAACTGATAGGGGGTCGCCGTCACACGCGTGGAGAAGGCGTGTCTGATGTCCTTACATCACAGACAGTGTGCTCATGTGCCAGGCTCCAGAGCCGACGGTGACTCTGAGGGACGCACCCAGTACAGCAGGCCGGCCTTGTGTGGCTGGGAGCAGCACGTCGGGCTGTCCTTTCCGGCCACGCATCCGGAGAGGCAGCCGCTTTGCAGGTGGCAGAGCGTGGAGCCACCCCGAGCTCTGCACCTCCCTTCCCTTGCTTGGGAAACATCCCCCACGGGGAGGGGACCCCTGGAGAACTTACCCTTGAACGCATGCTCTGCACAGCAGTGCCGTTAACGTCATGTCTCCTCTCTGCAGGCCGAACTCACGTTCTGCACGGGGGATATTATTACTGTTTTTGGTGAAATTGACGAAGATGGATTTTATTACGTAAGTTTTAGAGACAAGACATGCCATTATATTCTCCCTCGTCTCTTACCTCTTAAGATGACAGATGAGCCTGCGTGGCATGCTGACCGCGGGCCTCGCTTGCCACCCCTCTCTGCCGAGTCTCTTAGGCGGAGAGCCCGGCCTGACCGTTACTGCCTCTTCGTGGCTGCCAATGGCACTACTGGTGGGCATTCAAAAATCGTAGCATCTAAGCGTTTATAGAACAAGTTAATTTTCTAGATCACTAATTACATCAGTAATAAACACGTTTTCTTATAGGAAAAACAACGAAGTTAAGCACCCCCCCCACACACACACACACGCACGGCAAGTCATGGAGCGCAGGCTTCTCCCTGACCTCCCGCCAGAGCCACCGTTAGCAGGATGGGCTCCACCCAGCAGTCACGCCGCCAGCCCGTCCTGTCCCTTCGCAGGATGGCACTGATACCCGGGGGACAGCATGGAGGGATGCTGCCAGGTCGTCGGGATGTTTCTGCAGCTGAGCTCCTCCCTGCCCAGAAGCCCAGGGGCTGCAGGGTGTGGTCAGCCTGACTGGCAGGACCCGCAGCGGCGCTCCCTCGGCCTGGTCCCCGTCCTGTCGGGACGGTCGGAAACGCATCAGGAGTCCTGGGCAGCAGGTCCTCCTGGAGCCCAGTGGGCTCCATGACTGCAGGCGTGTGTAGGATTGCTTTTGGCAGGAAGTGAGTGTGCACTTGCCGAAGTGTGAAGGGGGCAGGGGCTGGTGCACCCCCATGGGCCATGGTCACCCCACAATCCCATCTCCTCCATTTCCTCTGCTCGTGGAACTTTGGTTGCACATGCACATGCACACAGCGTGTTCCTCAAGCCACTGGGTCTAAGACTTGAACCATGTAGTCGGCCACGCGTGGTCGAGCCACCTTCACCACGTACCACAGGCTGGTCTGTGTGTGGCATTTTCCGGCTTTCCCCTTTCCGTAGCGTAGTGGCTTCTGACTTCCCAGAGTACAGTGTTGTCACGTGCTGCGCATCTCTCTAGATCAGTTTGCTTTTTAACTTTGGCGTGTGCATTTGCTTGTTGGTTATTTTTGTTTTATTGAACGAAAGTTTTAAATTTGCATATGATCAATTTTTCCTGCTCTTAAGGGTCATGCTTAAAATGTCCTAGGTCATAGAAGTAATCGCTCTGCCTCATCAACTTCGTGGTCTCACCCTCACATGTAGCTCTCAAGGGTCTTGTTTTCTTATGAGGAGGGCTAGCACTTCAACAGTGTCAAGGCATCCACTTCTTCCTCTACTTGCAAAAGCGACCACCCTATCACACACCCGCGTTCCTCTCGCACGCGGGGCTTCCCGGGCTTCCGCACTGCTCGCTGCTGCTCTCACCCTGACCCAGCCACTTGTTTAGAGCTGCACTGAGTGTTTGGATTAAACTGGGGGAAACTGACATTTCACAATATTGTCTTTCTTTTTTTTTAAGAGGTTTTGCTTTAGGGTGTGTGTGCTCACTGAAGAGACAGAGACGGTGAGAGAGAAAATAATAAATGAACCCCCCAGGGGGGATGAGCACACCACAATCTCTTCTCCTCCACCCTCCTCCCGGGATTTTGGGCACCATGCACACACCCCCGGTGTCAGTTTAAGCACCAGGTCTGGGACTCGCACTGCAGTTGGCCAGGTGGGAGTCCAGCGATGAAACCACTGTGCAATCTACTAGCCCTCGCAATGCTGTCTTTCAGCTCTGACAGAGAGCGTGTATGGCCTTCTTGAAAGTTTTTCCTTTTCTTTTTCAGAAAAGATGCATGAGTGACTCTCACGAAGGAGCTCCTGTAAAGGGGCCGTGTGGGCTCCCTGCTGGTGGGAATGCCTGGCTTTTCCAGTGTGTAGCCACAGTACCAGCAGCCGTGCCGATCACGTGTGTGTGTGCGCCCCGCAGCCCACCTCCCCTGCTGCCCACGGATCTCTTGGGTCTGCCCCTCGCCAGTATTGGCAGCTGTCCCCTCTGTCACCCTGCTGCCTCGCTCAGCACCACCCTGCGTCGCAGAGACGGCATCGGGACTGGGTAGACATCTTAGAGTCGCACCGTTTTACGCGGTGGTGCGCAGGGTAGACTGTCGACGACAGCGGCCTTGCCATGCGAGGAGGTGGCTCGGTTTAGTCCCCTAACCCCACGGTCCTCAGTAAGTCATTCACCATGGCATGGGGTTGTCAGGAAAGTCACGAATGCATAGAAAATACATACCCAGTATCTAGTCTGCCAGCGGGAACGTGCGCTTGCCAGAGAATCACACAGAGACACTCCCGTGGTGCGTGGCCACGCGTAGCCCCGCCTCCCTCTCTCCCTCCTGCTGATTTGGGACACGCACGCACATGCACCTGGCACGTTTTCCAGGCTGTTGGAGGTGGGGAACGAACCATGGTAGGCCATGTGAGATCTGGTTCCTTAACCACAAGCCTGTGGGCTGGCCTGGGATCCCACGTGTATGGATGGCCGTGCTCCGTCGTGTGTACTCCCACGTGTACGGATGGCCCTGCTCCGTCGTGTGTACTCCCACGTGTACGGATGGCCCTGCTCCGTCGTGTGTACTCCCACGTGTACGGATGGCCCTGCTCCGTCGTGTGTACTCCCACGTGTACGGATGGCCCTGCTCCGTCGTGTGTACTCCCACGTGTACGGATGGCCCTGCTCCGTCGTGTGTACTCCCACGTGTACGGATGGCCCTGCTCCGTCGTGTGTACTCCCACGTGTACGGATGGCCCTGCTCCGTCGTGTGTACTCCCACGTGTACGGATGGCCCTGCTCCGTCGTGTGTACTCCCACGTGTACGGATGGCCCTGCTCCGTCGTGTGTACTCCCACGTGTACGGATGGCCCTGCTCCGTCGTGTGTACTCCCACGTGTACGGATGGCCCTGCTCCGTCGTGTGTACTCCCACGTGTACGGATGGCCCTGCTCCGTCGTGTGTACTCCCACGTGTACGGATGGCCCTGCTCCGTCGTGTGTACTCCCACGTGTACGGGTGGCCGTGCTTTGTCGTGTGTACTCCCACATGTATGGATGGTCGCGCTTGGGCTGTGCTTTGTCATGTGTACCCCCACATGTATGGATGGTCATGCTCCGTCATGTGTACCCCCATAAGTATGGAGGGCAGTGCTCCGTGTATGCACATCCCACATGTATGGATGGCTGTGTTCCATCATGTGTATCCCCACATGTATGGATGGCCATGCTCTGTCATGTGTACTCCATGTATGGATGGCCTGTGCTCTACATGTGTATGTCCCACTTATATGTATTGCAGTGGTCTGTCATGTGTATGCCCCACATGTATAGAGGGCCGTGCTCCATATATGCACATCCCACACGTATGGAGGGCCGTGCTCCGTATGTGTACATCCCATCTGTATGGACGGCAGTTCTCCGTCACATGTATGTCCCCCTTTTTCCGTCCCTTCACCTGTGCGGGCACCCGTAGGGCTCCGGGGCCTGGCCGTGCTATCAGGGCCGTGCTATCAGGGCCGTGCTATCATGGACACGAGAGCGCAGACCTCTTTCCCGTCCTGACCTCCTCTGAGCACAAGCCTAGTTGTGGGGTGCCGGGCCGTGTCGCAGGTCTGCTTCTAGCTTTGGAGGACGCCCGTACTGTCCCATAAGGCCACACTAGTTCACGTTCTCACCATGGGTGTATGAGCTCCCCTCCACATCCCTGGCAGCATCCGTGACTTCTGCTCCTTTTGCTCTGTGTTTCTGATACTGGCCATTCTAGGTGGGGCGGAGTGATGCCTCTCTGTGGTCCTGAGCCCTCTCTGTGGTCCTGAGCCCTCTCAGTGGTCCTGAGCCCTCTCTGTGGTCCTGAGCTCAGTTCCGTGGTCCTGAGCCCTCTCTGTGGTCCTGAGCCCTCTCTGTGGTCCTGAGCCCTCTCTGTGGTCCTGAGACTTCTCCGTGGTCCTGAGACTTCTCTGTGGTCCTGAGCCCTCTCTGTGGTCCTGAGCCCTCTCTGTGGTCCTGAGACCTCTCTGTGGTCCTGAGCTCAGTTCCGTGGTCCTGAGCCCTCTTCGTGGTCCTGAGCCCTCTCTGTGGTCCTGAGCCCTCTCTGTGGTCCTGAGCCCTCTCTGTGGTCCTGAGCCCTCTCTGTGGTCCTGAGCCCTCTCTGTGGTCCTGAGCCCTCTCTGTGGTCCTGAG